AATTGTATTAACAGGAGGAGATCCAGAAGAAAACTGGCTATATTGTAATGAGAGCAGAGGGAGTATATGATGTCCATGCCCATGCATCTATTTATTGGCTGAGGACTTGAATATCAAAATGGCAGAGGTATAGTATTCTATACTATTACTGGTTTTCGTTGTTATGGTGTATAGAGCACTGAATGGAGAATTTATTAAAGCTAAAGACTCAGTTATTAGGATCATTTCTACCTTTGATTATTTCTAGTATTGTATACTTTTCCTGCCATTTCCATAGGCTCATTAAAATTTCATTCTTTGCCACATAGTAGTTGATTGTAGGAATCTTAAAAATAGCCAGACTCATAAACTTGATATTTCTGATCCCAGTTGCAAGTGAAATTCTGTTTATTGTGACTGTTGTGGGATTATTATGCTTTATGATTAAGTGACCACTGCTTAAAAAATAAAAAAACAAATGAAGAAGAAAAAGGGGAGAGGATAAAGTAAATAGTTAAAATTGCAATGTGGTTTTCAATTTATTTTGAAGTAAAGGGACAGTTAATCTCACACTATAAATAACTATCAAAATGTTGCTTTAACTTTTAAATTTCATATTTCTACTTCATTGGTCTTTGTTCACCACGCTGTTCTATAGGAACATCAGTACGAGACAGTATCTGGTTTTGTATGCGAAGTATTTGGATACATCCCTAGGGCTGGTGAGAGCATCAAAGTTGTCCTCAAAAGGGATAATCAAGATGATGATGATAAGCATGATGAAGATGGATCTGATCATCAAGATTTGACGGAAAGGCATCAAATATATAGACTTAAGGTAGGGTAAAAGAACCAAATGGGATTCAGTAAAAAAACTAAGAAAATATGTAGCTAGCAATCATGCAGTCTCTTGACTCTCTTCCACATATAACTTTTTGAAATCAATGCTATTATGGGGGCATGCATTTGTTCATATAGGAATCTGCTTTTATATTGTTTATCCTATGAGATGCTTCATTTGGTGGCTCAGTTTGCTAAATGAAACTTGGTGTAACACCCCACATACCTTAGTGAATAATTTAAAAATTAGTGTCCTTTAGTTTATAGTTTTATGGATTAAATTGATTGAATTTAAAGTTTGGAGGTTTTAAGTAGAATTTAGAAGAAGTTGAATGACCATAACTCAATTATCTCAATTTTACTTACCACATGGCATTTTCCCAACCAAGTTTTTTTGTCTTGTCGGTGGAAGCTTGGATAAGCCTCCAGAAGCCTCTCAAAAGCCCCATTTTGTTTTCCTATGCCTTCTTCTTTCACCTCCATCCTTTTCTTCCTTCTTCCTCCTAACCAAGGTTAAGGTGCTTTTATTAGGTAAGTATAAGTTTTAATTATGAATTTTGGGTTAGAGTTTTGGGTAGTTTAAATTAGTGAGATTTGACTTTAATCCTTTTATTTATAAGATTTTTGAGTATTAAACTTTTATTAGAAGTATCCTTAATTTTGGGGTTTATATGGCAAAGATAGTGAGTTAGTCATTTCTATTGTTTGATTTGAGGGTATTTTTGCTGCAGGAATTAGAAGGAAATTGTATTGTTTATGAAATACTGTTCATGAACGATTACTGTTTACAATTACTGTTTACGTTCTGTTCATGATTACTGTTCACGCATTATGCTTTGATCTCTTTCAATAGGAAATCCTAATATTATTTTGAACATATTATGAATTTGTTTGACATGCGTATGTGTTTGTGGTTATGGAGTAAGTGGACCTAAGTTTAAAGCTTGGGTATTCAGTGGACCCTTTGAGAGGTATTTAGTGGACCTCTGCACAATAGGGTTAGTACCGTGATTAGCTCCGGTACAGTGTTGCTAGCACACCTCATTGGACTCCATAGCATTGTGTGATCTTTAATTTTATGCATTGCGCTTGTGACATCGTATTTGTGAGCATATGATTTTAGTATACGAATTCAATTTAAATGTCATTGATTATTCCTTGACATTTGTGCTTGTCATTTGATTCCGTTGTGTCTTATGCTCTTTGTGTGGATAGGTTTAAAGGTCTTAGAACCCAAGTTTATAGCTTAAACTTATTACTTACTGGGCTGTGAGCTCATAAAATCCCCTCCATTTCAGATCAGTAGATTGAGGTAGCAGCATCTCGGTTTAGGAGCTTTTGGCACGGAACTCACATGCTCGTTGTATGTACCAGCTAGGGTCTCGTGTTTTCGATAGGGAGGCAGATCGATGTCTTACCAAAACCATGACTCAGCTTTTGTTTTTTGAAAAGCTTTGAAGAAGAATTTGCCTCGTATAATTTTTGGTGTAAATTACCTTTATGTATAAAATCTTTGAATTAATTATAAATGAGTTTAGCTCAGTTTATCTTATAACTTTGAATATTTTGGTATTTTTCAATATATATATGATATTCTTTTTATTAAATTGATTTTCTGAATGTAGGCTTTCTTTTGAAGAAATATTTTATATCATAAATGTTTTTACTTCCGCTGCAATTCTTTACTATAAATTTTGTTTCCGAACTCTCCTAGGACTAAGGGTGCCTAGGGAGGTGTGTTATACTTGGCAACTAATAATAGTAATTCATATGCTTTGTTCTTGTGTAACATTCAAGTTTAAACATTTTTTCTGAAAAATAAATTATCCATGTGATAACCGTATATGCTAATAATACTAAATCTTGAGCACACAATTGAATTACTGATTAATGTGAGTGAAATGTTGTCCCTGGTGCAGATATTAGCTGCAAATGCCCGAAAGGTCAGTGCTGTTCGTTCTGAGTAGATAAACAACGGGGAAGCAATGTTAGAGGCCAAAGATGTAACTCGATTGATTCCCAAAATCAAGAAGAGGAAAGGGAACGGTGACAAATTAGATAACATTACCTATGATGAGAATGCATTTCAGAAGAGATAAGAGAATTGCCTTTCTGATAACTATGTAGTTCTGAAGATACATAAGATAATGGCCATTAGCTACATTGCATATTCTGTTTTCTTTTTCTTTAGCTCTTTTTCCTTCTCGTATTCTTATTGCCCCGTGAAGAAGAAACGGAAGGAAACCACAGGATTACTAGGTAGACTAACATTGTAATACTTTTTCACAAATGAAGTATCAACATCTGAAATATCATCATGGTAAGTTGTGCATGTGACAGCGTCTCTGGACCATAAATTCTCCAATAGTGGAGTTTGAATGGCCTGAACCTGGGTATTCATGCTCTGCATACTGGCTTCTCTTTCGAGTGTACACCGAAGAGGCAGCTGTGAAAGCATGAGGTCAGGGTGGAAAAGCGATCTAGATGGCACTAAGATATAGCTGCATAGATCTACCTTGATTCAGGCAACATCCGTAAGAGCTCTTTCTCCTGCCTCCTCTCCTTGGCTCTCTCCAACTGTCTGAACCTTTCTTGCAGAAGAGCAATGGATGGATGAACGACTGTTGGATCAATCTGTCTATTTCCACTTATTGGAAGATGAAGAGTACACTTTTAAGGAGACCTCAAATGCATGTGCTCATAATATAGGACATAGCTAGGACTTTAGATGATTATTTTAATTCATTCATTTCGGCTATTTGATTCTGTACGACTATAAGTTTGGGATGGACAAAGGCAGCTAAGCTGCAAAGTGGACGGACCTTCCCATTATATTTAGCTTTGAACATTCTCCTTTTTTTCATTTGTGGACGACACAAAGCTTTGAACGCTGTGAACACAATTCGGATTTTGATGTTTTTATCAAAGAAAACCATTTTATGGTGAGGTAAGAAAAGAAAGAAGAATCTACCAAAGCCAAGCCCTTCTTTCTCTCTGTACATGTTCTGTTTTGTCTTGAAGCTTTTGGATGGAAATGGCATGGAGATGAAAGTTAAGACATTAGATTGGATCTATGGTTGTTGGGGGAGTGAAATTTGAAATGCAACATGTACCCTAAAGCCAGAGATAAATATCTCTGATTACCCGAAAAAAAAAAAAAATCTCATGAATTTGGGATAAAGTGTTTATTTAAACTCTAATTAAGTATAATCAGTATAAAGAGATTTCTCTTCAAATATGTATCATTCATTGAATCTGCTGAATGACCTTATCAAATTACATTTAAATCCATAAGTCAACATATCCAATTAAGTACGAAAAACAATTTGAGAAAATAACTCTTAAAAAATAATAAAGGAGAGGATGATAAAGAATTTTTGATATATCAAGTTTAGAAGTTTTTTTTTTATATTTATTTTTACAATTAAGTTTTAATATCTCCCTTAATAAAAGAAAATGGATTAAAAAGTTTGATTTTTTTTAAATTGCATAATATTTTTTAAATAAAATATGTAATACTTAAAATTATAAAAATACTACAGTTTATTAAAATTAATTTTACATTGATGGCTCCTACCAATAAAATAAAACAAGTGATCAAAATGCGATACACGTATGTTTTCAATCATTATGTGAAATTTTTTATTAAGAATTTCTTATTTATTTTTACATTGGAAAATGCATTGAAAATTTCATAGAAAAGGAATACATTAACAGAACTTAAATTTATTAAAAAAATTATTGAATTAATAACTAATGTAGAATACTTTGAATGGAATTTTAATTTTCGTCGTTGCTGTTTTTCTAGGCAGTTTGATTGTGTACTTGAGAGCTGAATATTTTTCTCCTGTAATTTAATTAAAAAAAGTAATTTTTATAATTATAAAATATAATAATTTTGTATAAAATATATTACTAAATCTCATCCGGGATTTAAAGACAGCTTTTTCTGCTTCAATAGATGTAAATTTTAACATTTTCTCCGAATGATTCTTAATTTCTTATTCTTTGAAAAAGATCTTTGGGCATTCCATTTATTGGTGCAAGTTTTGCTGCACAAAAAATTATTATTATTATAATAAGAAATCTATTAAATTTTAAAGAAAAATAATAATAGAGTAAATATATTTGTAACTTATATGGACCATTTTTGGTTGTTTATCTAGAACTTTAATGTGTTGTAGATTTCTTAGTTATATGATTGAATAAATAAAATAATTATTGACAATTATTATAGTTGTTTGTTGTAATAAGGTTTTCTCCCATCATATCTGATAATTTTATAAATAAAAATATGAAAATATTAAAAAAATATAATTATAATTAAAAACACAAATATTCAACACAACCCAATCTTTCATTTTTTTTCTTTTGGATTTGTTGTAATTTCTAAGTTTTTTTGTTTAAATATAATTTGTACAGGCAATAGTATATTAGTTTAGATGAATTTAAGGTGTTTATTTTATTTTATTTTATTTTTTAAGGGAATTAGTTATGTTCTCTGAAGAAATAAATGGGGGACTTGCTGAAAATCGGAAAGGGGTCGACACTTGAAAGGAAGTACTGACACCTTCAGTGTATAGAGGACACAGAGTTCGGCTCGGAGATTTTGGACCAAAATGCAATTTTGGTGCTTCTTTGGAAAACTGTTCTGGTCTGTCATCTTTCATCAATTGACACTTTGATTCTCATATTTTTTATTTCTTCAGTTTGGTCCTAAAAATTACAATTTTTAATTTTTTTTTATTTTCTTTTATTAACTATTTCACCTCTTTAGGGTTCCTCTTCTATTATGAATCCCAACTCCTGCGTTCCATCTGCAGCAAATCCATCAATACCCATCCTATTATCCCTCAACCTCTGTTTTTACCTCGTCTCCTAGCATGCTCAATTCCAACGGGAAGAAGATATAGAATTAGGAAAGGGAATACAGTTTTGGGATTTTTTTTTTTTTCTGAATTTTTATTATTTTCCTTCAGCTATAACTATTGTGGGGGCTTGAGGCACCTAAATCCGCTGTTATCAATCGACCCC